GCGAAAAAACATTCGCATTACAAACAGTTTATCATTCTTTCCACATCAAATAACCCATGTACGTTTTTGGCGGCAGATATGAAGAAATGAACCTCGGGTTTGGTGTGGTAAGTGGAGTTTGTTTGTCGTTTGTATATATGCGCCTAGGGTTTCGATTTATGTTTGCAGATTTTGAATGCATTTTTTTTTGAAAGTATATCATTGCACGCAAGTCTAGATAGCTGTTGTTCTTGTTTGCTGGTCTCACTGTTTCTATAATGCACGTGTTTGAATACTTAAGTGCTTTTGCGGAGTAAGTTCATCTAGCCAATCTGTTCTTTTTCTTTCATAGTAGTCTGGCCTCCTCTGATTCTAGTGTTTTCAGTCGTCTTGAAGCCGTGACGTGGGAGAAGGAGTTGCACTATTTACATATTCGTTGCTGGTGTATAATTTACTTCCAGGGATACAGCTGTTGAAATAATACGTTTACCGCTTTAGGGCATTTGAACTCTTTTAGCAGAATTGGAGTTAACAGTCGAAGTTCTTCAGTAGTTTTTTGATAGAGTTGCAAAACTTTGATGAGAAAACTTGACGCCTAGTCTTCTGTGTTAGAAGTGTGAATAAATATATAGAAAAAACACAACGGACAATCCAGCGATGGTCTGATGCTTTTCTCTACGCCGTATTTTGGCCGTTTAGTGAAGTCGTTAAATGTGAAAGTTTGCTCAGTGAACAGCGCTTCGTAGGAATTCTTTCACTTTGGCTGAGTCAACTGGAAGTTGGTGTCGTTAATGAAAAGGGACACTGAACAATTGCATGCCAACCTGGATGTTTGTATAAAGAGGCCCTGGTCCTGCGAAGAGGAGAACTGGCTTTGGTGCACTTCACTTATCTTATTAGAGACTGAAGAAATTAGTATGATATACTAACCCAGGAGTTTCAGGTATGCCAATTAATTGGGCGAAGAGCTGATAGTAGGTGCTAAACAGTCGTGAATGTTTTCCAGTCTCCTAAGTCCCAACACGTGTGGGCTCGTACTTTGTTTCACTCTTGTGACGTCGTGCATCTTCTTTGTGTAGGAATTGTGTTCTCTCTGGGGAAATATCATCCCTAACAGCAGCTAGTGAGTAGTGAAACAAAAATGGTAATAATGGCGATGGAGATGGAAGCATTTCTGTGTGGAGACAACTTTGTTTGCTCCCAGGAAAGGCTCTCTCTCCTTGTTTCTCAGTTGAAGAGGATAAGGAGAACGTCTTCGTGCAGTACAGTGTTTGGAGTGCCCAAATAGTCTGCACGCTTTGATCAAGGATTTTCTTGCCCTATTTGACAAAATGCGATTCTTTTAGCCCTACGTCCAGAGGATCAGAGATAGTGAATCACAGTCTCATGGCG